TATATTAAATGTTTTATTTATATCGAAAATCTCAAATAAATAAAATATTATTTTGGTTGACCGGATACTTTTCCGAGAGTAGTGTACATTGGTGGATCTTTACAAATGGAAACCTATCCATATATTTCTATAATTTTTTTTTTAAAGCTTGTATTCAAAATAAAATTTATTCATATCGACTGATTGGAAAGTTTGAGGCAATTAATATTTAAGCTCAAGCTGTATATAGCTGATGGGTTACTAATGTAAAAGTTTATATTCGAAAGGATTTTTTTATCTTGTAACGAAAATGTTTAATGACATTATTATCAGATTCAATAGCGCAATATCATTCATTATTAATTCAGTTAATTTTTGTGAAATTACACAGTAACTCAAATTTCTATGTAATAGAAATAAAATTGGAAAATTCATGCGAAGAATTGCACGTGATGCTTTATTTTTATTTTATTAAAATCAGCAATCGACATCATGACAAAGCTGAATATTATTATTTTCCTGTTCCTTAGATAAAATAATCTATGAGATTACTTTAAAAGATTCAACTTTTAACGGTCTGAAATTTGTAATATTTACAACTTTGTGATTACCATCTTTATAGCAAAAATTCATATCATCATCAAAATGATTATAAAAAATTCTAGTCATTTTCATATTTCTAGTATCCTCTTTGTTTTCTAATGAAAAAATAAAGCAATTATCATTAAAAAGGGATAACACACTGTCATTATACCTATCTTTTCTATATCCTCCATAAATTTTTGATGAATCACTGACAATCAATAAAATTTCATTTTGCTGCTGATTACATAAATCATGAAAATTTTTGGGATATAAGTGGCTGTAATTATCAATACGGTGAAGAAGTTTGAACTCGTACTTCTTTTTATATAAATAATCATTTTCACCATTTTCACCTATTACACCATCATGACCTTCGATCCAGTTAATAATTATAGGAATAAGCCTTGGCTTGATAATCTTCGATTCCATTTTTGACTTTCCATATCGTGGGGATAAAATAAATGATTTTTGAAAAGTACCTTTCATGTAGAATTCTAAAACTTTTTCATAAAGATATTTGGGAAAAATTGGCTTATACTGACGAACTTTTTCAAAAAAATCCGCGGAACCAATACCCGAGTATCTAACGAGCGGAATAAATTTATCTAAAGTCTTCTTCAATGCTTCATAATCTTTGTCATCCCAATTAGTTTCATCATCTTTTAGATCAGGGGTTTGTTTGATACCCCATTTAATTAGATAATCCCAGAGAACTGTTTCTTCGATCTGCAGGTCAACTCGTTTAAGCAAGGCATAAAGAATATCTTTATCCAACGATATAAATTCCATTGAAGTAATAAATGGTAAAGGATCTTCGCAGATAATTTCAATACAATGGTCCTGAAGTTGTTTACAAATATCAATTTTAAAGGCTTTATGAATAACAAGAGCGATATTTTGTTTAATCCAGTCCGACCGATGTTTAATTAAATAAACTTGAACGTGATTAATTAATCTCTTCAAATGTAATTCGTCGGATGCGTCTAAAAGACAAAGAATTTCTTTTCCTGTAAGAATGGTTAAATCCAAATTATCGGTATAAATATAACTTATTATAAAAGAAAAAAGTGGAAGATAGTTAATTAAATGAAATGAAAGTGATTTTACAAAGTCATAATCTCATATTGCATACTTGTGGATTAGGTCAAAAGTGGTAGGATTAATGTTTGGTTCCTTGAGTAACAAAAATAAATTTTTCTTCTCGACAGTAGTTTGCAGTGCATTTTCGAAATAAGGTGAGCAAGCTCTTAGAACTGATGAATGAGCAGGAAATTCTCTAACATCTGGATTTTTTCCGACTTGAATCATTACATTATGATTTCCAATATTTTTTAACGTTGATGAGAATCTGGTAATGATCCTTGAAGTCATTCTCTTATCCTTTAAAAAAATGGAAGTTGAATTTATTACGTTCTTTTGAATATTGCAAAACATTTTGCTGCTTTATAAAAAAGGAATCAAAGAACAAATTTCATAAAAAAAAAAAATTCGAAAAAATCGATAATTTATGCCGATCATTTACTAAATAGAGTACGACACTTCTATTTTTAAAATAATATAATATATGCAACGGTTTCCGCCGGGAATCGGCGAATGATTGATTACGTTTCGTTTAAATAGATCATGTATTACAAAAATTAATAATTACAGTATTTGTTTCCGGTAAATTTGTACTATGCGTTTCTAATTCATTTCTAACTATCGTTTGGATCATTTATTACGTTTCTAGTCAATACGTTTTCCTATTGCTAGACAAGCATTCTCATAATTTCACTGTAGTTCCACTTTCGTTGTTAGGTAGAAATATGAATTCCTACTGTTTTCGACTATAAATGTAGCGGAAACTTGATTCTGAGTGCACAATACAAAATTTCCAATACACGTGCCGAATTCATCCTGATTCAAGATTTAATACCTCTTTTATATGATTGAAATATTGGTAACGTGCGTCAAAATAATTTTACAGACAATGAAATCTCTTTCACTGTTACAAAAGGAAATCATTTAAAAAATTCACTTAATAAAAGAAATGTGAAATCGACAAAATTTGGAATTTCGAGTTTTTCGCTGTAAAGAACTTTGGTGATCAAATTTTATTACAAGTCATAAAGTAGAAAACCAAGTTTCTCATGGGAATGATGCAATAAATCTATTGAATCATAGAAATGGTTCTTCACGAAATGGATCAGTCAATTGTTATCTTTATGGACATGTGGATCTCGTTAGTTGTCATTCATTCCAAGTGAAAACAAGGACCTCAAAGATAGATCAAAATTGTTTAAAAATTCGTGAAAAATGTTAACTGAAACCATAAGTCCAGAGTATGCAGCAGCAGATCAAATTAGAATTTGACCAAGATATTATTTTTTGTTGGAAATCAGATTACAATATACTTACATATTTTGGTGTAAGTTTGCCGGCAAAGCAGAGGTTTCGACAAGCATCAAAAGTGAAAACATGTCGAAACCGTTGAAACGTATAGTCAAACTCGTCGAATCCCATCGTAACCGACAGTTTTCGACGTTTTCCAAAATGGGATTAAGGTTATTCTCTGCAATCTTAATGTAGTGACATTCGATCAATTGTTTTACTCAACAAATATTTGCTAATACCTGAAGATTTCTAGATACCCATTTGTTATCATTTTTCCGGCACTTTGAAACAAAGGAGACTTTTATTAAGAAAGGTCGTCAAAAAATAATAAAATTTTGGAAGATGGAATTGTCCAGTAGCTGCATAAGTTGGATCTTTTTCAAGGTGATGAGCATATTCATTTTTTATTCTTTCCTAACCATTATATATACAGGTTGTTGAATTGAAATTTCAATTGACCTTGCATTTCGTGTATAATCGCAATTATGCTTCTCATATGGAATCCTTTGCTAACGAAATTTTATCATTGGTTCTCTTAGATCAAATACAACGAATGAAAACAGCACAAGTCTGTCGACTCCAATTCCCTTATAGCCACTTATTCTTCTCAGAAGATCGAATATTTGTTCTATTTCCGACATATATTCATTCCCATATGCTTAATGTCGATTTATAGATGATTCGAAAGCACGTCAGCGGTGTGAAAAAGATTACTTATCCGAACTTGAACATTGTATATCATTTTGCATATAAGCCACAAATAATTGGATTGATCATATATATTTAGCTTTTATTAATTATAGGTTACCTTTACAGAAATATTGTTGAACGTTTCAACACTCACATTTCCATCTCTTTAGATATTGATATCAACAGCAGCTATAATAATAATTCTTTTAAAAAGTGGTTTTTAAAAGTAATAAAGAGATTGTTTCCAATATTGAAGCTGATAACTAAAAGCTGTGGAAATAGAATCAGTAATGATAGGAAACCGGATTTTAAAAGTCCTGTTCTGAAGAATGATCAAATGAAGGTATAAAGAAGTTTGATTATGCCAATGTCAGATTTGACGATTAATCAAAATGTGCTTTTACAATTAAGATGAGATTTCAACATGAAGTTTTTCAAACCAATTTTTGAGATTGAGGATATGTTCAAATAACAAGGAGAAATGTGGTGAATGAAATCCTATGTTCAAATTCTAAAAATTTAGACAAGTAATTTTTTTATGAATTTTTATCTCTAATTTATATTGATAATTCAATAATAATGCACCTGTTGTGATTGATTGTTATCAACTTGGAATATGATGTAGTATGATTCTCCTGAAGTAGATTTTGGTGTTTAAAAAGAGGAATTTTGTCACAATAGAGAGTGTTGTAAATGTTTATATTACTCGTGAACATTTACTGAAAATTCAACAAAGTTTCACAAATTAATTCTCATAATCTTATATCTTTTAGTAGTAAAGAAAATTCTGATGCAAGAACTACAAATAATCATCAATGGTTTAAGAGTTTCACTAATATCAGTTCTTTTATAGTTTAGCTTGCATATAATATTTCCAGAAGCATTCAAAGAGGGCCTTTGCAAAACATCAAATAATTGAAAACTAATTACTTATTCAGACATCGTTTGCTGTGTCAGCACTATCAAAAGTTTGCAAGAATAAAGTTAGAGTAAAGCTTAAGGTATAGTAATAGAAAGGCATAACATTTCCTTTATAATTATTTTATTTGCTATTAAAATAACGTCATGACCATATGTCATTTACAAAATCTTGTGATAAGAATTCTAAAAAACAATTTAATAAAAGTTTTAAATAAGCTTGTTATTTATTTTTTTTTTATTTCTAAATTATAATACTTTATTTATTAACCCATTTAAATTATAATAATATCAAAAATTTATAATAAAATAAAATAAGACATATCTCATTTTACCCTTATTAAATTAAAATGTTCATTTACATAAATAAATTTTTAAATATTTTTTTTGTGATTTTGAATAAAATATACATTTGCAGTTAGGATTTAAAGAGAGACAAATCAAAGTATAAGGATTCAGATTTATTTACTATTATTTTACAAGAATGAGATATGTATAAATTTAATAAATGCATTCTTAGAACTAAGGGTTTGTGCAATGCAAAATAAAAATATGCATTTTAAATTGTCAAAAATGTAAAATATGCAAAAAAAATTTTATATTATAAAAATATAAAAATTTCAATTTTATTAATTATTATAAATATAAGAAATTCAACATTTTCTAAAAGCGAACTGCTTCTATCATCAAAAATTCTTTAATTATTGAGATTGGTGCTACTCTTGATAAATTTGTAAGAATTCTATTTTTATTCTTACAAATATTGATTTAAATCCAAAACACCCTTTACAAAATTTTTACAAAAACTGCTAATTCAATTATTATGTTTTCTAAACTAAATAGAATTTGATAATTAGAATTTTTTGAAAATCTCTTCAATACCGTATTTATTTTGTAAAAAAAAATTGGATTTTTTAAATGGTAAAAATAATATAAAGTCACAAAAAATGATGAAAATACAGTGCACATTATGCAAAATTATAGAAAATTTAAATTTGTTTCAATATCATTTAGAACTAATTAATATTCCTATTTGTAATAATATCAATAAAAGTTGATAAGCATAAAATAACATCTCTTATAAATTTGAAATCTAAAATCATTAACAAATGGGAGCGTTGCTAATAAAATAAATTACAGAAAATATGATTTACTGGCAACATTCTAAACATTGTATTTTTTTTTAAAAAAACTAATGGCAGTTTAAATACCCTTTATTAATTTTGATTTCTTCTTCTTTATATTCTTCTTATTTCTTTTTCTAAAAAAAATTGTAAGAATAAGAGATATCATAGTAATAACAAATTTTTGAAATATCCTTATAATTTATACTTATTCTGCTTATTCAAGGGCTATAGATGTCCTATAAAAACCTTCTTGATATTATCTCACTGATTCTTCTTTCAGTACCTCTATATGCTAATTTATGTGAAGTCAGCAAAGGATCATTAGGCAAAGGCTGCTGGTTGTTAGTGTTATTAGAGTTAGAGATTGAAACCAGTTAAAGTATCTTCTACTTAATCATCATATTGTTTCTTCTAAAAAAAATTATTAGAATAAAACATAAAAGTAATAAAAATATTTTGAACATCTTTAAATGCATACTTGATTCTTTTTGCTCAAAGGTTACAATTTATAGTTGTCTTCATTCTGAATATAAGTCGTTAATTATTCTTTTGGCATTTTGATAGGCTGACTCTATTTGAATCAGCAAAGACTTATATGCTAGAAGTCACTAGTGTTGTTAGTGTTAGAGATTAGAATGGTTAAAGAAAATTCTTCTTATTAGTTTTCTTATTTTTCATTTTTAAAAAAAATTGTAAGAATAAAAGAAATAATAGTAATAACAAATTTTTGAAATACCCTTATAATGCATACTTAATTCTTCATGCTCAATGGCTACTTGGTCTAATTACCTTCATTCTAAATACAGGTCAATTCTTTTTTCTGCAACTTGAATATACTGATTCTATTTGAGTCATACTCCAGAGGATGCTGGTGTTATTGCTATTGCTTATTGCTTGTTACTGTCATTGTCATTGAGTAAGAAGTTGGAATTGGTTAAGATTTTCTTTAACTAGTTTTAATGTCTAGTTGATATTGTTATTGTTGTTGGAAAAAGTGAGTAACAGCTTGGCACTTTCTATTTAATAATATTTTTTGGTTTTCTCGTTTAGGTATATTTTTTTGAAAATTTTTAAAAAAAGCTTTTGAAATAATTTTTTCTGCGTAAAGTTAATTATGTATTTTAATGAAAATTCTTAAAAAATTTGTATTATACGAGAAAAATCTAAAAATAATCTTATCATTAAAACATAAGAAAAAAAATATTCACACCTGTTACATAGTCATTAATCACATTTTTCATGCAATCTAGTTTAAATTATTTAATTTTTTATGTGATTTAACAATAAAGATGAATTGGTGAAGTGGTAATAATGCTTGTCATGCATGCCTTGTATTCAAGTACTATTCTACCAAATCTCAAATTTTTTTTATTATTCATTCATCCCAGGTGATCTAAAATTATATGTAACCCAGTAGTAAATCTGGCTACCATTTTTTATGGATAACGCTATGTTTATTAATTAATCACATATTTTATGCAATCTAGTTTAAATTATTTAATTTTTTATGTAATTTAACATTAAAGATGAATTGGTGTAGTGATAATGATGCTTGTCACATATGCCTTATGTTCAAGTACTGTCTACCAAATATCAATTTTTTTTTTATTATTCATTCATTCCAGATGATCTGACAATTTCTTAAAAGTTCTACCTAAGATTGCTAGATGAAGCCTAGAGGTTTTGCAAGTCGTCTAAATGGAAAAAGGCAAAATTTAGCAAAATTATATTAAAACGTGATTAATAAATCTGCGAAATTCTGGAAAAGGTAAAACTATATCAAAGCTTATATAAATGCGAAACTATATCAAAACCTTAGTAAAAAATTAGCGAAACTATAGTTTAGACGTTTTGCCAAATCCAAAATGAGTTTATACAAGCAACCTTAGTTCTACATTTTTTTTACAACAAAAATTTTTTATAAACTCAACATGGCTTTTCAATTTTAGAATTTTGGTATTTTAGAGGCGAGTTTATAAAAAAAAGGTCCAACATGCCGAGTCTCCTTCAAATAACTCACCACTAACTAAACATACTTATTATAAGTACACTTATTGGAAGTATGAAAAGAAGGAATGGTCTTTTCGTGTACTTATCGCAACATGTTTTAACGTAAATAAATGCAAGACTTGGAACAGTTTTGAAAGTTCTGCCTTAGACAATAAAATTATTATATCTTTACCTATTGAAGAACTAACATGGTCGCGGTTATAACATAAAGTATGAGTAATGAATATATATTTTTTTTTTAGACATTACATTTATACTAATTTCGCTCATTCTGACACCTATTTGAAAATACTTTAGCTCATTACCCAAAACCATTAATGAATTCAACACCATCAACATTGTTGTCATCATTTCCAAATTGTTTATTGGAATTTCTCGTATTAACGTTGTACAACGTCCAAATATGGCTCAATGATTCAATTCAATTATCTAAGAGGATTCTTCTATAATATCATCGTTTAGAAGTTAATCCAACCTAAAGATACATGTATTTCAATGACACTGTGTAATCTAGTTCATTAATCATTAAAATCGAGGACAACTCTGCAAAGTAATTAATGCGCGCAATAAATAGAACCATGATACATTCAGCTTGGAATATTAATTGATTCTTCTCTGGGAAGACAACTGGTAGTCAAAAGTAAGTAAATTTCAGACATAAATGTATTTAATGCATTTTTTGAAGTGGCTCATTAACATACTTCACGAATTTCAAGAGCAAGTTAAAGAAAGATAGCAGCGAAATTTAGAGATGGTATCTTTTTTAGGTTTCTCCGTCTTTATTTGTAAGTAATTTATGCACCTATATTAAAACCAACCTTCAAACTATTAATAAATTTTCAATTATTAGATAATTCTACTTCACATGATAATCAAAATTCTTAGGCTGACAAACCAATGGAGGTACATTAACAATATTTATTAATTTTAATTTTAATTTGAATTGTTATTTTCTTTTTTTTCTTCTTTTTTGATTTAATCGTATGATTATATACTCCAGGTGAATAAAGAGTACAGCAACACACCAATCTATTCGTTCCTTTGTTTAAAGATTGCCAGGTGTCAACCACGAATTAGGTTTTAGAGACGGAAGTTTTGCGAAAGTGTATTTAATATTGATGAGCGAGTAGTATTTTTTATGTGGCTCATAATTTTATCATTTATTTGATGTGATAAGTATACGTGGGTATTTTTAGTTAATTAGGACCAACAAAAGATTTAATAGAAATATCAAGTGAGTTTTAATAAAGATCAAAATTTTATGATTTCTTTTAACACGATCTTTCGATTCTAACCGGAATCATTGTGTTATGTCCGGTTTTTGTACTAGACAAATATTTTATCCGGACTTTAGCGCGCTTCATTTACAGCAATTACACAAAATGTGATCATATGTTAATATCTTTTAAAATATATTTATTATTCAATCAGCTCATCCCATTATTCATTATTATATTATTTGACAATGTATTTAGCCGTAATAAAAGTAAATTAAAGGATCGAGATAAGTATTGAAAACTTACAATAAGCAAACTTCGAAACTCGCTTTTAAATTTCTTCATGTCTTCACAAAAATGAATTTTGTTAGCAAGCAAGTCATCTATTTTATATATAAAAAGAAAAAAATGTTCGTGGTACTAATGCATTAGTTAGATCACTGAATGAACTATTCACTCAAATTGCATTATTATTAATTCAGCAATCAGAAACAAACTCTTTATGGGCATCAGGTACAATTTTTTGAATTATCTAAACATGGTTACCTCCCATTAAAAGATTGGACTCGGTCATCTAAATGATAGCTCAATGCAATGTAGCATATGAAATCCCTGTCCTTCTCATTAAGATATTGCTATAAGAAGTAATGCATTTACATTGTTCTAACAAAAGCTCCGGTTTAATAAACAACATCTATAAAGATTGGTAGTAGAATTTAGATAAATTCCTTGCCGAAATTCTAAATATGGCTTATCTTTGATCGTATTTCACATTAACGCTAATGATAGGCGAACGACGGTCCATGTTTGTTGTGATTACCCAACGTAATCAAATTTATATTCTTGAACTATAACTAACTGCAGGGTTTTCAGAAGAAATTCAAGCTTTTGAATTCTTCTCGTAAGGTTTAGTTCTCCAAAAGATATTTGTCGTACATTTGAATTTACCATAAATTTAATTCAAATATTCAATTCACTAGGAAATGTTAAGGAAAATTTTTGAAGCGCCACTTGTCGTTGTAGGAGGTAAGGTAGAGTAAATCTTAACAAGGAATTTAAGTTAATTTGCTAAATTTTCGATTTCTGCCTCTGCAATACTCACAACGGATCGGAATAGAAATTTATTCAAACTGTAAATAAGAGAGATGATTTTTGTCAACGATTTTTTTTTAATAGTTTCAAAATAATAAATTTATTTAATGAACTTACAAAGAGATCATTCCATTTTATCTACCCAAAAACGCAAACCTGTCAAAAAAAAATGAATATGTAAAAAAAAAAAGTTTATAACAGAATAATTTTATTATTTACTTTGCGAGAAACTTTTATGATGTCGCGTATTTATATATTCTGTCGATGTTTCAGGTGTTTTAAAGTAATGATAACTGGAATCTGATTTCTGACTCATCATTTTACTTCGAGCAAGGACCAATAAGAATACGTCTGTCATAAAAGTTTAAAAGTCGGATTTTCTCCCCAAAATGTTTGTCATGTTTCACTCAAGTAGTCAATTAACAGGCATAAAATATTTAATTATTTAATAACGACTTCAATAATAGATGATTCAAACCCTTAATACTAAATTGTTGAATGTAATGCTATTTTAATTATTTTCTTAAAGTGTTATTAATTAATTAAAAAAAAAAATTAAAAGAAGTCATTTTTACAAATAAAAAAATATATATATATCCTATAATTTTATTAAATAATTTATTAAATTAAATATAATGGAAAATTTGCCCGGCATTTATCAAGCAACGGAATCATTGAAGTACCGTACGTCAGAGTGGAATAGTCTCGGGTTCTATTGCTTTGATAATTGATTCTCTAACTCATCCAGATAATCCTGGATCTTCTTAGAAAGAGGAACATCCCATGTCTGGTCCTTTTTCGCTTCGAGTTTGGTGTTCCAATCTTCAACTTCTTTAGTGAATGCCTCGTAAGTAATGGTGTAAGGGAAATAATCTCTGTCATTGTAATCAAGCAATGTAATGTGTCAGGTTAGCTTTAACCGGTGGTCATGGTCATCGAATTAACTTATAACCAGGATCAAGTGAAGCCATTGAACATACTCATTTTGACGCTCTGATGGAAACAACGTTAAGAGCTCCATGTAACTAATTATATGTGCTCTCATCATGGTCCATCTAGTATAAGAAAGTTCATGCACATCTTGATAAACGTTATTTACAAGTGCAACTTTTAAGGAAAGAAGATGTTAGAAAGGAATCCGTTAAAAGGAAAAAAAAAAACAAGTTGTATTTTGGACGTCATACTTAGAATATTCATGATTACGATGTTTGCAAAGAATGAATAGACGATCTTCATTATATCCACAAAATGGTTATTTTCCCAAGGTTCAAAAAAATCATAAGAAGTTAAAAGCCCGGACCAAAAATTTTTAAGTGATTGATCAAATCCCTTAAATGTACTTTCACCACCATTAGTTGGTGGGGTAAATGAGAAATACACTATTGCTGCATGTGCGCAAGCGAATAAAATCAAAGCCAAAAAGAAAAGCAGCATCAAAATCCTCTTGCAAATCTGCATAACGACTTTTTTATTGATAAAGAGGTTGTTAATGGATTCGTCCAACTTTGGATAATCATACTTTCTGAATGTTTCTCACCGATTAGTGTTACTCCGATACTCTGGAAGAGACACAATAATGAAATGAAACCCAACCATAAGAGAAGGATTGAGCAGAATCGAAGAATAGAGTATGCGGGATCTTCATGTTCCAAGAGGCTGTAAACCTCTATAAGCCCAGTAAAAAAGGGAAGGAAACATATCAAGAATGCAAAGTAGGCTGAAGGAGATAAAAGATATTTGAAGATGGTACCATTCGCCACAAATATCAAAACAAGCCGGATCAGATTGAGAATTAGAAAAATTGACCCAAATGTCATGCTAGTTTTCATTATTCGCATATCTTTGGTACCAATCGCCAACGTAAAAAGGCCAAAGTTAATGAGATAGATCAAAAAAGTCGCAATAAAACGCGACCTCGCAAAGGCATGCCATTTGAACTTTACAATTGCTTGGAAAGGTGGAGACGAAAATAATTCGAAGCAAGTTGTGGAATCTTGAAGGAATTCGATTGGATGATGTAGGGTGAGCCTTACAAATGGACTTTGGCTACAAGGAAACAAGACTTCGAAGATACCAGAACGCTTCGGGTAGGTGCATAGACCGGGTAGTGGTACATAGCATAATGTAGCAGAATGCCGAGCGATTTTTTCAAACCTTATTTGTAACATAGACCGTAATTAGTTCGAAATCTCATGATCGGATATAAGAAGAAGGCATATACAACCTGTCAAATGGGGACAATATGTGTTTAGGTTGATATTTTGGATCTTGTTCTTTCTCGAGATCAGAAAACCTGTAATAATCAAACTTATAGCCCCACAGGTGTTCATAAACTGACGGGTACTTTTGTCTTTTTGAATGTTCTAACGGAAACCTAACGTAGGTGAGTTGCTTCCTAAGATAGATTATTGGGTTCTTGTAGGAATCGGAAACGAGGCATGGAAGTAAAGCAGTGACCACATACATGGTTTCGAGTTTATTTTCTTTGCACCTCATAACACAATGATTGAAAAATTCTCCTACTAGCCTATCGTGCTCATCATTTTTTTCTTTGGTCAACTCCTCGAGCAGCTCATTAATGGTATTCCCATCAAGCTTATTTAACGGATCATTTTTAAATTTAAAGATGTCTTTATCTGTAGAAATATCTATAGACATGCTCATGTTGCTAAGGTTAGAGTTGAAGAACTTATTCAAGAAGTTATGTACAAATTTACCTAGGAGAGTCGTTCTACAGGAAATGGCCGAAAAAAGACTATGTCCGGTCAAGATGTTTTGATCGAAAAATTTGATTGCGGCAGCATTATAATTCGGGTAGGATTCTTTTAAAAATTATCCGTGGTGGGAGGGGCTATCCTCCCGCTTTAAAAAGCGTAACGACCTGAGATTTGCTACGCCAACGGGACTTGCGCCACAATCGCAAAGGTTAAATTAAAATTTGATTGGTGAGGATAAATCGGATAAAAATATCAAAATTAAATAACTTTATTGTAGTGAACCGTAGTAATTGACGCATCTGAAGATGATATGAACAACGTCAATTGCAAAGTAATGAAATCGGTATAAGTTTCTAATTTTATTCTTATAATTTACATTTTTTCTTGAAGTGCCTTTCTGTTGGGAATAAAATTTACATTGAATTTAAAATCAAATGATAAATGATTAAGATGGCAAAAGTCGAAAATTTCGAAAATAAATTTCGTTTTAACAAAATTTAACAGGTATTATTGTATCGTTAATTAATCTTACGTGTAAATAATTTAATAAATAAAGTGATATAAAAATAATTTATTACTTACCCATTTGCATTTTATTTTATATATTTTCGGGTAACATTGAACTTTTTCAAATTCAACAATTTTACAAAAAAAAAAAAAAAAAACATTTTTTTTCTACTTTATTTGTAAAATTTCTCTCTTATTTAAATTTTTATATTTTCAGTCTTTACATACTAATAAAAATTGTCTTTTTTAGCTGAATTATAATATTTAAATCAAGAAGATAGCATTTAATTTTGCAACATTCTTAAAAAAATAAAGAAAAATAAAATAAATATCTGAAATTTAATGCTATTTTCTTACTTTTACGGTTTTTTTAGCTACGTAATGTAGGATTTTATTTTTTTTTTAATTTAATATTTTTTTTTTTTTTTTTTGGTTTTTTCGATATATATACATATTTTTTTTTCTTCGATCTATTCTTTTTGTTTATTTTACTTTATATTTGAAATCAATTTCGATATCCGAAATTATTTTAAATATTTGAAATGAAATTTGTATTTCAAACGGAAACACTAACTGAGTTGACCATATTTTCACGTCTAACCAATCCTATGACATTTTTTTTTCTAGCTCTTTTTTTTTTTGTGCGTAGCCTTGGTATTTTTCTAAAAACAAATTCCAAAATATTGGAAAATAGAATGACCATTTTTAGTGTTAAGAGCTAGACCACATGCTGAAATTGATCGATTTTACTTTAAGAATGAACCGCTAATTTCAATAATTTATTGCTTTGATCGTGAGGGAAAAAGTCTTTTAATTATGAAATGGTAAATGACCTTACCTATAAAATATTAAATTTTCTAAAATTCAAAATGCCCCTTAATTAGTTTATCAAATATTAAAAAAATGTATTTAATATATTTATTATTAAATGTTAGCAGAAGGTTTTAATTGAGCAATTATTATGTAAAAAAAATTATTCAATAAAAAATAAAATTTATCGGCGCCTTTACACCGTTTGTCAATTAGAAATAAAAAATTAATGGCGGTGAGCGAAGTAAAGGAATAAAAGAAAGGGGGTTTTCGTTGTGTATATTCAAAGGAACATGAACTCTATGAACTTTGTCCAATTCTCAAAAAAATATCAATCGTATACATATATAATAAATTTTTAACAAGGACAATTTGGTCAGGCGACATTTATGGCAACATGACAAAGACAAACTGGTAAAACTTAAAAACAACTGAAGCTTTTAACCGACTATGACCATACTTACATTCCAGTTATCATTGGTAAAAAAATCGAATGGACGTAAAAAGAACAAATAAATATTATAATTTAACTCGTCATTACCTTCTCATAATATTGCAATAATTTTACATACATTTTGAAGTAAATTACAAACACATTTTATGAATATAGTAGCTGAAGAGGAAATTGGAAAATTTTTTTTAAAAAAAAAAAAAAAAAAAAAAAAAAAAATCCAAAACTTCATGAATTGGAAAAGGAACCCATAATCACTTTCATAAAATTTAAAAAATAAATATCTTTTCTTCTTTTTAAATTGTCACATGAGTAAACTGTCCTTAGGTATTTATTCCTTTGAATAGTTATGAGTTATAATGATTGTTATTTCAAAATGGGGCGAATACTTTGGAATTTCCTAATTTTTGAACGAGAAATCCCTCTCAAGGTTCAATAAGACTTCGGTTATTAAAGACTGATAAAATGGATTTCTTGGTCAACGTAACGTTTTCGCCGAGAAATCAAGCTCCAAGAATAATATGTAATTCGTTGCTTGTAGTATGTAGACGCAAGTAATTTCGATTATATTGATGTGTCGGCCGATGAAATGACCGTCGTCTAAAAATTACCCTAATTAGTTGAAAAAGAATAAATAGTTTAGTTTAGATAAAAATAAAAAAAGCTTAACCACAGAATGTTGGGCTAACATTAGGTTTATTAAATTTAATCATATTATCCTTTTGAAAATATTTATCGACTAAAAAGACATTTTTAACAAAGTAACGAATCAAAAATATAATGTAAACGAAATCCTTGGCATGTAGATTTCTGACTTTAATATAAAAATTAAAAAAAAAAGGTCGTCCGACGTTGAAGAGATGTCTCTTGGTCATACTATGAAATAATGGTAAGAAACTTATAACTACGTTAACTACGTTTTCTGTATTTTACGAATTTTATTAAATTATTAAATTGCAAAATAGGGCTGACTTTTTACCAACTTCATTAAGATGATGATGTTGTTTATTCACAATTGTAGCTGCATCACGAATAAATTAGATTTTATTTGAACGAACGTTGCATCCAGCCTCCTAATTTCCCAATGATTCAAGATCACAAACGGATAGAAAGCAATAATCTTAGTGAACGTAACCAAACAGTATTTTGTGTCCAAATATCTGGGTTGTTATTTCAAAAAAGTGATTAATAAAATCTTAGATGCAAATGAAAATCAGGAAGTGATATAAATAAATACCGGCATCCCGAAATAGGATATACGGAATCTAAAGGAAGATAATATATTTATTCTATTAAATATATAACATCTCTTCTTTTTAAAAAATTCTTGTGTAAAAAAAAAAAAAATTTTTTATAAATTCAACCTTGTACAAAATTTTTATAAGTCTATATAATTACTTTATCCAACCAAGATTTTTCCCGTATATAAATTAAATCCGTAAAGGTAACATCCATCTTCATTGATTCGCTTATATGAAATTTGTCGTGATGGAAAATACTTCAAATTCATCAGCTAGATAATTATCAATATCTAAAATTCTATGTTCATAAGATTGCATACTTTTTTGACAAGAGACAATACGATCATTCACATTCAAATCTCCACCACCAAAATTCAATCCACCACTTTGATGTTCGTAAATGGCAGCTACAGGTATACTGACTCTACTCAATTTAATTTTATGAAAATTTTCACCATCCCCCAAAGTGAATATAAAAGAATCACCGGTTTTCTTCCAGATATTAATATTATATTGCCAACCGAAAGGATTATATCCACCAATGATTTTGCCAGAGGATTTTAATTTTATAATGGCAACGGAGGGACCACGATTATTACATTTATGACGAAATTCCTTATTATAAAACCCATCACGACTTCCTCTATAAAGCAATTTAAAATTCAAATGAGATTCCTTGATCGTTACAAATGACTTTGTGTCTTTACGATAAATCCAATTTGATAGAATTGCCGCATGTATAGGTTTAATTATATTTGAATCTATAGGGATATGACCTAACCTAGGGAATAGAGTGCACGTTTTCGGTTCTACACCATTCATATGATTCATATGATATGCCATAATATCTTCATATATCTCATGTGGAATTATAGATTTATAAGGACGTACTTTATCGAAAAAATCTCTCCAAGATATCTCTAGAAATCTAATTAATGGAATGAATTTACAAAGAGCTCGTTTTAAAAATTTGAAATTCTTTTCATTCCACTTTGCCGTATAATTGTTTGTATCTATAGTTAATTCGTTGGAAAGGTTCTTTTCACGCAAAGGAAATGACGTTATGGGTGATGTCATCAACGAAGAGGTTGAACTGCTTTTCCGATGATGAACATGACGGTGTCGTTTCTGTTGCACTTGTTGATTTTCCGTTTCACTCTGTTCGCTCTGACTTTGATAATCATCATAATCCGATTCCAACAATTTGGATTGATAATTTCCCCATTTGATTAAGTAATCCCAGACCAACACTTCTTCAACTTGTAAATCATCCCTACATAATAATTGATATAAGATGTCATTATCCAAAGTAGGAAAATTTTTCAAAGCGAAAAAAGGTATAGGATTTTCGCAAATTATTTCTAAACAATATAGTTGCAATTTCTTACAAGAGACAAGTTGAAATCCTGTTTGTAATACTTCTATCATATGTCGTTGTACCCAACTTGATTTTTTTTGTATTAAATAAGTTTGTGCATATGTAATTAATTCTTCCAACAACAATTCATCTGCTGCCACCAATAAATCTAATATATCCTCCCCTATGACCCTCTCTAAATCCAATACGCCTGCATAAACATATCTTTTTGAGACGAAGAAAAAAAAAGTCAAAAAAAAATATATATATATATATTTTTATCAAATTACGGCAGAGTAAATTTAAATTACCTTAAAATTATTTCGAAAACTGTAGGGGATATGTTTGGTTTCGTAAATATAATGATATCATTTTCTTTTTTAACCCAATCACTTGATAATGCAATTTTAAAATAAGGCGACCGAGTTCTTAAAATGTTTGAATGAGCTCGAAATTCTTTTATATTTGGTTTCTCTCCTACTTGAATACTAACATTATAATCATCGGCTTCTTCAAGTAAAGCCAATAAATTTTTACTTAAACCTGGAAAAAAATCTGAAGGCATATCTTTATAACGCACCGAAAAAAAAAAGTAAGTTTTTATTTGTTTATGTATAAAAAGTTTTTAAATACATTGTGGAATCGGAGAAAAAAATCAATTTACCAAATATAATAAATGAAGTATGTGGCTGAGTGGGGTTTACATTGTCCCTCTATTTAGTATCAAGTTTTTATAGGCATTGGCGTATCAATTGTTTTGTCACACAAATTTTTTACTTTGCAGTTCTTTATTTCATTCATTTTGATAATTGATTAAAAATCCACCTATTGTTCGATATACCTTTTTGAGAAATTCTAAATAGGAACGGAATTCCCTTTTTTGGTTTCTTCATTGATTTCAGCATTTTCACCTCGGAACTGCGGACCGTTTCAACTTTACTAAGCCAATTTTGACTTGATAATAATTTTATAATTAAATTATCTCTTGCAAACGTCGTCGGATGTAGAAATGTAATAAATATAATGAATCCAATCATAGTAATATCAATACATATTGCATTAATTCAAAACGTCAACTTAAACTACTTATGTCTAATTATGCGGCGGAAATGTATTCGGATTATCATTTTAATTGAACATAAATCTCGTTATAGAAGTTTGTTTATTATTAGGTAACAATATATGGTTAAGGTAACAATTTTTCATACGCCATTCACAAGTAATTTTCTTTTTTTTTTTAACTTTTTCATTCTTCTTTTTTTTAGTTGATGTTACATTTTTATAATTACTCTGTCATTTCTAAAATGACAAAAAAAATTATTAACCAATCAAATCGATGTTTTCTTATAAAATAATTTATTGTTTCTTATTCCATTTTTGACTTTTTATAAGCTTTAATATTTTTAAGTCGTTAATAAAATCTCGAATATCTTTTTGGTTCAATATTTTTTATGAATTTTACATTGAATAATACATTAAATAATTTATGACCATATCCCTCCATTTAAATCCATATATCCTGTTTAATCACCTATTAATAAAAATACGTTAAAAAAAAATATATTTAATCAAACGCTATAAACCAGGGTTAAGTTTTCGGAAATCTTGTGTTTCCATTCTTGACTCGTACAACAAAGTAAATACTGGGGATCCCAATATTTGGAACCGTCATTAAAAATTTTTAACCGGTTAAACCAACCGACTAAAAGTGGCTGTTTTTATTAATTTCCAAAAAATAATTATAATCCTTTAAATCCATTATAAATGATTGATTTCTATATTTAGAATTTTTCTATTATTAAATATTTTTTTAAATGTAAAGATTTTCATCAAATTTATTAAAATATTATGTAGAAAATATCTGTTTTAAAATTAACTAATTTATCCAAGATCAAAAGTTCAAATTTTTTTTGATAAAATCATTTTCTTTATAAAAGCTAAATTTTAATATTTTTATTCTTTTTATATTATTAAAAAATTGTTAGATATCTAAATTATATATATTATTAATTTTTAAATATTAAATATTAAAATATTTTATATATTAAATAATATGATATAGGCAAAAAAGATTGATATACAAATCATTACCTGATTTTCTTATCTGATATAAATCTATCATTTGATGTATACAAATTATATAAAGGTTAGATTGCATTCAAAGTTTAAATAGCTTATAAACCTGAACCTTTTTTTTTTACTTATGGATGACTTGATTATAAGCAGAAAACCATTAAAATTTCAAATATAAAAAAGCCTAAATCTATCAAAATAAGCTTAATCATAATATTTCCATACTTTTATAAAGCACAATTGACTATACTACATGCAAATTGACAAATTTACTAATTAAATTGTATTTTAACAAATGAATGTATTTTGATAGATATAATTATTTTATTAATAATTTTTAATAAATATCAAACTGATGTAATAAAATTTTGATATTATCAAAATTAATTATAAAGGTTATCTCCTATAAAATCATACTCTTAAAAATTGAAAAAAATGATATAATTATAAAAAATATTATATAATATAACTAAAAAGAAGTTTTTTTATAAATTTATTAGTAATTTTAGCTAATAAATATATGTTTATAAGAAGGAATATTATTATATATAGAGTGATTATAAAGAGAGTTAACTGTATTATTATATCTGTAAATACTTTAAATATTTTACTTTTGACAAAAATATTACAATAAAAACTTAAGAAAACTAATCATAATTTATTAAAATAACAATTACTTTATTTGGAAAGATTGCTAGAAAAATCAGGTTTTAAGAATTTTTTTAATAATTTTTAATTTTTATTACATTTTAGTTTAAAAAATAAAATAAAAAATAATAGAATAAAAATAATTAGAAAAAAAGTTTAAATAAGAAAGAATAAATGAATATTAAAGAAAAAATAATAAATTATATAAATTACTAGCAAATATTACCTTTCATAATTATTATTTATAAGGATAATAACAATTATTGTAGTTGATCAAAAGTATTTGACTGACTAATCAGTTAACTGAATGATTTTAATTAACCAGTTAACTGACTAGTTAATAATAATATAATTAAATAATTTGACTTAATCAAAATTTTAATTTTATCAAATATTATAATTTTAATTCTTATTTTAATGATTCTAACATGTCATTTTTTTAAAATTATTTTATCATTTTTATTTAGTAACGTAGCATTATCACAAACTTTAATTTTTTTTAAAAATTTTAAAATTTTAATTTATAGATAATTAAAATAAAATGTTAATTTGTTAATTTAATATAAGATATTTTTATTATTTAAAATATGATTGTTAAGTCTTAAGTCAGTCAAACAATCAGTCAGTTAAATCAATCAAAATTAATCAGTTAATTGATTAATCAGAAGCCTTTAACTAACTAATACAATTATAGTTATAATTGATTATGATTAGTTATAATCATAATTATTAGCATTCCTAATTATTTTTAATATTAAATTTGAAAACTTACAAGAAAATAAAGTTTTAACTAAACTAAAAGTTTTTTAGTTAATTTCATATTATTATTTACATCATATTACGAATTATATTTAAATATAAAACTATAAATAGTATATTCTCTAGAATATATTTTCTTAATGGTAAAGTTATTTCTAAATTCTTATTATATATAAGATCTATTAATAAAAATACTTATATCAAAAGAGAGAAAATAAGCAAATGCTAATGTTTAAAATAATATTTCTAAATTATTAAAAATTTTAATATTATATCAAATTATTTTAACAATTATGATAATTTATAATTAAGATCTTTTTAATAAACTTTATACTATTATTAAAAAATACTATAGATCAGTAAAAATTCATAAATATCACTAAAGATGCTAAATAAAACTAAAAGTTTTGTAAGTCATTTAAATAAAAAAGATAAAATTTAACGAAATTATATAAAAATTTTATTAAAAAATTTACAAAATTCTAAAAAAAGTAAAATTATATCAAAGCTTATATAAATGTGAAACTATATTAAAACTTTAGTAAAAAATTAGCACAACTAAAGTTTAAATATTTTACCAAATTTTAGATATACAACCTTAGTTTTTATCATATTAAGTTAAATATTAAACTTAAAAAAGAATATATTAATTGTTTAGCTAATGTTAATATTTTAAAAATTTCTAGTAAAATAAAATTATATGAATTATTAAAATAAAATAAAGCAAATTTACCTTTTATATATCGATATATTAAGATATCTAGAAAATATGATTATAATTTATTTTATACTTGACTTATCATTATAAACTTTAATTTTCAAAAGAATTAAAGTAAGATTGTCAAATCTAATTCTTACTCAAAATTTTTTAATTATTAGAGATAAATTATTACATATTTTAATGAAAAAATTATTATATAAGTTATTATTAGATTTTGAAAGAAACTTAAATCATAATAAACTAAAAGTGATTATAGTCAACTCTCTATAAATACATTTTATATAAATAAACACTCTATTTAAATACATTATTTAGTTTAGTCTTAAGTTAGAAAATTAATACTAAATATACCTTTTTTGCTATATATATATAATGTAACAGATTTGATTTTATTTATATAAATATTTCTATATAAATACATTTATGTAATTTTATACAATTTTAATATAAGTTATATATAATAAATTTTTTTAAAATTAATTATAAAATAAACTTTTTAATAAAAAAATCAATTATTAAATAAATTATCTAATAAAGTTAATAAATATTCTTTAATAAAACAAATGTTTAATATATAATAATACATTATATTTATAATAATGTTATAATTTTTTATGTTATCAATATGCTTCTTAAAAAATTATATTAATTAATATTTAAAAATATAAACTTTACATTTATAAAAATAATTTTAAAAATATTATAATATTATATAAATTGGATTGAATAAAAATAAGAAGTTATAATTAATAAAAATATAATAACTCAAATTTTTAAATAAAGAAAAAATAACTCTACTAAAATTATTTATTTAGATTAAAAATATTATAGATCTATTACTTTTCCTGAACTTAAACTTGCTCTTAAAAATTTGTATTAAATTATCAATATTAAGCAATTTTAAGAAATGAAATTTTAGTTAAAAAAATTAAATTATTAGTAGATATATTAGGTATTCCTAAAAATAGGTTACAATTTTCTAATAAATGATTTTAAAATTTTAAAAAATATAATGGAATTTATTAATAAAAATTTTAAAGGAAAGCAGGATCCATTAATCAATTTACTATTTTTAAAGTTTTATATGTAATACATATATAATATGTTAAATATTTTTTTAACAAATTTATAATATAGATAAAACTGAAATATTTTAAGTAAATTATAATAGAAATCTAGTTAATTTTATATTTATAATTCAAAAAATAGCAAGTTATAATGCTAAAATTTATATAATATTTGCTATAGTACTTATATTTAATAATTATTTTATAAATTTTAAATAATTTATCAAGAATTAATTTATTTAGCTTTTTATTTTAAATATTTATTATACAACAGATTATGATTATATTTTAATAAACTTAAATTAGTTTAATAATAATGATAATAAATAAAAATAAGGTATTGTGATTAAAAAATATCATAATTAAGTAATAATTTGTAATACAATTAAATTACCTTATAGTGTAATTAAGTTGCAATTTAATTAAAATTTAAAAATAATTATGAAAACTATCCTTTTAAATTCTAAATCAATTGATTACATGATCTCTTTTATCTTTCTATATTACAAATATATTTATATGTAATTTTTCTAGCTCACTATTTTTAGTATTACTAATTTAACATGTATATCTTTTATATTTAAAGTTTATGTTAAAATTTTTCTTTTATATTATATTTGTATTCTAAATTCTTATAAATATTATTTTACATTTTTATTTTATTAAATTTGCTATTTAATTATCATATTTTAATCATATTAATATTATCAATTTAATCTTGTATAATAATATCAGTCAAACTTCTATTAATTATGTTAAATTATTCTTTTATATTATTTGAAAATATAATCTAAAAAATAAGCAAATTCTTGTTAAAGAATTTAAAACCTCAAATTATATATTTAAAATATTAAATTGAATTATCTATATTAGTAATATTATTATTTTAATAGTATTTTTTATTTGCAATTTTTCTAATTTGTAACTTAAATTATTTAATCTTATTTTTAGCTTATATATATAGTTATTTTTTCTATAATAATAAATATATTTTTCTTTTTCTTTATATTTTATAAAGTATTTTAAAAA